CTTGTATTTAGTGCAAAACTTTTTTATTAATCAATGCAAAGGCTTTCGGCTTATTTGCCATCAGTGCTCATCTACAAAAATTGTGGATGTAAACTTACAATTTAAAAAGATTTTAAAAAATATATTATAAAATCTGAATTAGACTTTTAAGTCAAAAGTTAAAATAGTATATATACAATTGTTTGAACAAATTAAAAATTACAAGAAACAAACAAAGTGACAAAAAACTGGTATTGGGAATAGTAAGTGTGGGATAAGCCCTTACAAATCAAATCTGATCTCCAGAAGCAAGTTAGCTTGTGTGGAATTAAGGAATCATGCCACCCTCACTATTCACAAAATTGAAAAAAGGTTAACAAATTAGTTAAAATTTAAAGAAATTTACAATTAGAGGGTGACTGTGGAAGATATATTGAAATTTGAATCTAGAATACAATATTTGTATTTGAATTAGATAGGGAGAACAATAATATGGAAGATAAGAGAAATAAAGAAAATTTGATACCTGATAAAAAGCTTGAATTATCGTTTGTTGATATAATTCCACTACAAGGATGCTCAAAAGATGACTCAGTTGGAAATAAAAGATCCATCCACCATAACAGCAGAAAGCAACATTCAGAAATAATGACATCAACACCAATGAAGTTACTTCTAAAAGAAAAACAGCGGAAGAAGGAAGAACAAATAAGAAATAAAGTCAAAAGAATAAAATGAAAAATTGACATTGAGTCGATCCCTGTAAAATTCAGTCCGCCTCGAATAGTACCAAAAGGAAATTGCTTAAGAACACAGAATATCACCGAAAATACATCAACTGAAGATGAGGATGATGGTGATAGTGATGTTAATGAAGATATATGCGCAATTTGTGGTGAATTTGGTAAAAATAGAGAACTGTGGATCCAATGTAGCATTTTTCGCCTATGGGCACACAAAGACTGCACCAGTTTCGAAGGCAAAATGTACATTTGTGATTTTTGTAATTAATTATTTTTAAATGGGGGTAATACTTTTACCCCTCGACCGCGGGTAAATATGGCCACCTGCAGTAGTCGGAAAAAATCTTTTAATTTTTTATTTATTTTGTTATAAAATATTTTGTAAGTACAGTTTGAAGTATTTAGGTTTAAAGTTTTATTTACCTTAATATTAAATAAAAAATCTAAATAAAATAAATAAAAATCTAAAGACATGTAATAGTATAAATAAACAAAAATGCTTAGGCGGCCGCCATTCCCCCCTTTCCCCTACCCGTTTGACCCTTACAAGAGCTAGATAAAATATGTTTTAACATCAATGTGTCCAACTTCAAGATCTGCCTATTTAATGATTGGTGAATCATTTGACAGGTTAAATATATGGTCTATCTATATGATTAAAGGTCGAAGAGTACCTAATTGAAAATGGTAGTATATTTAAAAATATAAAACTAATATTTGTTTTAAGTACAAGAAGTATTCTTATGAATTGTGGAAAAGAACCACGTGGAAAAATTGTTTTTAAGTGTAACTATAAACGATTGCAAAATATTTCTTTATTTAAAGTACCAAAAAACAGTTTTTTAATATGGGACAAAATTTTTAATAAAACACAAAAATTAATCCTAAAAGTTTTATCTGTGAAAAACATTTCAATAAAAATGATGTTATTCGCGAAAAAGTAATTACGGATTCTTCTGGAAAGGTTATTTTAAGAGTAAGTAGGGGAAAGGGTCCTAAGATGACGAATTGCACATTTCTATTAAACTAAGCGTATTAAGTACGAGAAATAGAGCACAAGTAGAAGTTGGAATGGCTTTTGCCAGTTCTCTTACTTTATACACATAAATTGACAGGTTTTCGGCGTTTTAATAAATTGTGAATAGCTGTTGAAATTTTGTAAAATTATGATTTGAATATTATATATAATACATTTTTAATAATTATTTATAGTCCATAAATACATGCGATTGCCCGGTTTCGCCGGTAACAATTTAAAATTACTTATTCTATGAAACTACACTGTCAGATAAACATTACTGCAAAATTCTCGAAGCCGTCCGACGTGGTTTGACGTTTACCCCCTCTCTACCTACCAAAAGCCTTTCCAACTTCTACTTGCGCTATAGCTACACTACATGCCTACTGACTTGCGCAGAATGATAGATTCGGTGAAGCGAGGCAGTATGAGGTTGAACGCCGATGAGTGATATTGGTGCAGAGTGTTATAATTAACAAAGTAACTGAAATAAGGAATAAAATTTGACTGGTGAGTACTAGATGGTTGACTGAATATCCTGTGTTTTGAAAAAAGGGTCTTCTACAATGTGAAGTGGTGGTTACATATTACTGATCGCATGAGATTTTGAAAAAATTTATTAAAAAAGTATGAAAATCGTTTGGTAAGTTGACGAACAACAAAGTAGCTAAGATGACGATCTTGGTCATCTTACCTCCAACATGTTAACCTAAAATTTTAATTAATAAAATATTATTTGGTGGTCTAGGTTGCAAAATGGGCCGTGTTTATGTTCGAAAAACAAGAAGGCAAACATGGAGCAAAGAAAGTATGAAGAATGCTATGAACGAAGTACAAATCAATGGTACTTCTGTTAATTCTACTGCTAAAAAATATAAACTTCCAGAGCCAACGCTTCGCAAATATTTAAAAAAATATCCTAATAAGGTTGGTTAAATTGTTTGACTTTTGCAACCTATATTTTATGAAAATTTATGACTTTTAGGTTTTCCTTCGAATGCCGGCCGATATAAGAACACTTTCTCTGCTAAACAGTTGCAAGATTTATATAACTATGTGAAAAAGATTGATCAGCGGGCTTTTGGTTTAACTAAAGAGCAATTTGGTAAGATTCTATATGATTTTGCCGAAAACCGCAAAATAAAACAGATTTAGCCAAAAAAGAAACTAGCTAGGCGACATTTTATAGAATGGTTTATGCAGAAATTTAACGTATCCCTTAGGACTCCTGAGTCGACCTCAATCGCTAGACTTATGGCTTTTAATAAAGAGAGCATTTCCCAGTTTTTTAACATACTTCGCGAAACAAGACAAAAATATTCGTTTCAGTCTAACCAAATATATAATGTGGACGAAACTCCGAAAGGAAAGCGTAGGGTCATAAAAATTTCATCTGCTGAATGAGGGACTAACGTGACAGCTGTCTGCAGTATGAGTGCAAGCGGAAACCTCGTATCTTCCTTTTTAATTTTTCCCCGGGTCAGGATGCAACCAACTTAGATGAAGAATGTTCCCAGTGATTTTGTCGGTGTGGCCCATGAATCCGGCTGGATGACTGGTGATAACTTCATTAAATATTTAGAACATTTCATTCGCCACACAAGACCTAGTGAGGACAATAAGATTATGTTACTTATGGACAATCATGCCAGTCATCTTACTTTGGAAGCAGTTAATTTAGGTAGAGAAAATTTTATAACGTTAGTTGGATTTCCACCACACACTAGCCACCGCCTACAGCCCCTGGATGTTTTCGCGTACGGGCCACTGAAGACCGCTTACAGTAGATCATGTGAAAATTTTCTGATGAATAACCCTGAAAAGGTTATAACCCTGCATGATATTGCGTCTATGTTTAGTTCCGCTTATCTAAAAGTTGCATCGGTGGCCAATGCAAAGAGCGGATTTCGTGCAACTGGCATAAAACCATTCGATCCTGATATATTTACAGACTTAGATTTTGAGGCAGCAAAAACAACTGAAATAGAATAAAAAACAAATGATCAAAATTTAGAAGCAGTTCTAAACGTAGAAACGGAAACTCAAGAACAACGTCGAGACCAATATGCAGCAGACGTATCCAAGCCTACGAAAACAGAACTCTTTACATCTACTTCAGAATATCGATTTGTGACTTTTGTTCCTGATTATTTAATTATTTAAAAAACTATGTTTTTTTGTTTTGTTTATTTTTGAGTTTCTCTTGTAAAGCTAAGCTAATTAGTGAATTACCCACGTTCCTTCTTTGTTTCTTTGAGTTTATAACTAATAAATATATTTTTCAACTTTGGTTTTAGGCTTTATTTTTAATTTAAAATATTAGTCAACTTACCCACAGCAATTCGTCAACTTATCAGCAGTGAGGGGTTAGATGACGAATCGGCTAAATATATATTTTGAAACTGATATAGGTTTTTTAAAAACAATTTTATTGATTAAAATTACAAACGTCTTTGCTTGGCAAAGGCTAGACAAAATCTGATTTAATAAACTAGAGAATTAATGTAAAAGATTAAAATAACAAGCTAAGCACTGAAATATAATATGATACGATAAGGAGTCCGAATGTCAGCTGTATACGCTCACGTAACTGGTTCTTATTTTTTTATTTCACTATTTTTTGTGATAAAATATTTTTTTTATTAAATATTTCATCGCCAGTCGTTTTAGACATAGTTTAAATCAAATCTTCACTATAATGCATACCATATTTTTTATAAATAACAACTTTAGGGGCCAAAAAAAATCATAAGGTTCGTCAACTTACCTCCCTTTCCCCTACATTTCATATAAATAGGTAACTATTTTAAATAATACAATAATCCCAGTAAACAACGCTGTTACTTAACATTAAATTTACGTATACTCTACATAAATTTAAAGTAACCAAATTATATAAACATTTTACGTCAACGTTACGTCATTTTAATGTAAATATTTGCATGGCATAAAATGTATTGCTCACATTGTGGTCACTTTTAAATAACTTATTGATGTAAGTTCTTAACGTTAAATTTACGTATACTTTACATAAATTTAAAGTAACCAAATTATGTAAACATTTTACGTCAGGTTTACATAATATTAATGTAAATATTTGCATGGCATAAGATATGTAAAATGCTCACATTGTGGTCACTTTTAAATAACTTAATGAGGTAAGTTCTTAACTTTAAATTTACGTACACTTTTCATAAAAATAAGGTAACCAAATTATGTTAACATTTTACGTTAAGTTTACGTCATATTAATGTAAATATTTATATGACAAGATTTATTGCTCACATTGTGGTTACATTTAAATAACTATTGAGGTACGTTTCTAACTTTAAATTTATCTACACTTTAAATCAATATAAAGTAACCTAATTATAAATAACTATTGAGGTAAGTTTTTTTGTCAATACTTTATAAATACACTTTTCTTTCCAATAGACAGCAGGAACAGTTAAGCCCAGCCTCACTGATGAGATGACAAATGCTCTAGTAAATAAATAGTAATTAATGTAATTAATAGTTAATATTTTTCTATTTAGGTTGTTCGGTTTGGATCTACTGCTGGAGAGAAGAAGTAGAAAGAAGACTGATGACAGATGACTTGAAATTGTCACCCGCCACTTTCACTTCCCGCTATCCCGCTTTCGTTTTCCCGCTTTCGGCTTTCAGCTTTTACTTTGGTTCATGTTTCACCAGAACACGTTTTATTTTGATTTTTATTTTTGCTGTATTTGAGTTTGAGTTTTTATTTGAGTTAGAGTTTTTAATGGGTTTGTTGTGTTTGTATTCATTTTTTCGTGGTTTTTCCCCTCGTTTTTCGTTAGAAAAGTCAGGTAAATGATTTTTTTATTTTATATTTTTACGTTTTTTTTTTTATTTTTTTTTCAATTAACATGTCAGGACGTCGACATCGAGCATTTATCAATTTGTCTAAAAGACAAAAGCGTCGAATTATATTAAAAGAACAAACGCCCGTAATACCAGAAAAACCTATTTTTCAAGAGGAAAGTTCTATAACATATTCACAAAATATATCTCTATCACCAGAGCACCAGCAGCCTATTGAATTCCCTACTATTAATAACCTTAGTAATTTTATTAATCATGAAAAAGATATATTATATGTGAATACTCTGCGACCAACAGCATCATTATTAACAAAAGATTTACTATTTATTTTTGACAAACATAGTGTGTCCCAAAGTTTAATAACCGATATTCTAGTTGTACTTCATAAACATGGACATAATGATTTGCTCCGAGATGCACGAACATTCAGACATACTCCCAGAAACATATCAAGTAGCCAATTGATAACGATGGGTTCTGGTCAATACATTCATTTTAGATTAATTAAAAATCTAAAACCATTGATTATAAAATTTGAGCTCCCAAAAAAAATTAAAATAAACATAAATATTGATGGGCTACCAATTTCAAAATCTTCAAATAGGCAGTTTTGGCCAATTTTATGTAGTGTAGTAGGACATTCAATGGAACCTTTCATTATTGGTCTATATGAAGGAAATTCAAAACCACACGACTGTAATGACTTTTTGCGGTATTTTGTTGACGAGTACAAAACTTTAGAAAATGATGGAATGTATGTTAACGGGTTCTTGTATAACATTAAAATTAGTAATATTATATGTGATGCACCTGCCAAATCCTTTGTTACTAATACTAAGGGTCACACGGGATATTTTGGTTGTTCTAAATGTATGTGTGAGGGGGACTTTAAATATAATAAAGTAGTGTTTTTGTCAACAAAATCAACTTGTAGAACTGATGAAAATTATAGACAACGGTTAAATCCAGAACATCATAAAGGGCCAAGTATATTAGAAACATTAAATATTGATATGATCAAGCAAATTCCTCTAGACTATATGCATCTGGTGTTACTAGGTGTTACAAAAAAGATGCTATTGTTACTTTTACGGGGAAATAGAGAAATTAGATTAAATCGGAATCAGATAGATGAACTAAATAGGCTATACCTTAGCACTAAATTATGTATTCCTTCAGAGTTTGCCCGGAAGCCACGAACGGTAAATGAAGTAGAACGATGGAAAGCTACAGAATTTCGTTTATTTTTGTTATATGTGGGGCCAGTTATATTAAAACAAGTTTTAACAAAACAGTTTTATCATCATTTTATGTCCTTATCCATGGCAATAAGAATATTATGGGACAAAAATTCACAACCTGATCAAATTACTTATGCTGGGGAGCTATTACTCTATTTTGTAAAAAAAAATTCTGATTTTTATGGTCAGGAAAATGTAACATACAATGTACATAATTTAATACATTTAGTTGACGATGTTAGGAACCATGGACCACTCGACTTATTTGGTGCATTTAAATATGAAAATTATTTATATTTTGTTAGTTATTAAAGAACTCGAGGTACCCATTGCAGCAAATTCATAACAGAATTGTTGAAAAGGAGGCTTTATTAGATAAATATATTCCAAAACAATATCCATTGGTTGAAATGAAAAATAATAAAATTATAAAGATATTTTTTTGTGAATATGTTTTTTCACTTAAATGTAATGATAATTTAGTACTTCTCAAAGACAAAAGAATTATTAAAATTGAAAACTATTTTTGGGTTAATAATAATTTGAACTGTCGTGGAAAAGAATTTACAAATAGTATTTCCTTTTTTGAACGTCCTTGCAACTCCCAGTATTTTAATATTTATCTTGTACACCTGGAAAATATTTTATCCAATGTTACATTTAATGTAGATTTAATTGAAAAGAAACTGTTTAAGGTACCATTTGACAAAAAATATTATTATTATGCCAATTCTTCAGTTAGTTTTGTTTATTAATTAGCATTTGTAAATATTATTTTAAAACATCGATTTGCATATAACTAGTATATGACTTAATAGTTTTAAACATCCGCTAATAAATAGCAAAAACACTTTGCTCCACATTAGCTTTATTTAACTGGATGTTTTCTTAGTTATTTGTAAATATACAAACATTGTGAAAATCATAGAACAAATATTTTTGTTATTTCAATCAATAGTTCTATATAAAATGTTTTTGTTTGTAAAATTTTATTTCTACTTATATTAAGGTGATAGGCAGATGTTTTTTATTTTACTATTTCAGTCCTCTAACTTCACTGTAAAATTTTTTAATGTGATTTTAATTTGCTACCCATATTTTTTAGGTAGTCTAAAAAATGGCATTTGCACATGCTTTTTGTATTAAATTTTTGTGTAGGGTAACATGGTCAACAGTGAATCAGTGGTACACAGTGAACCATCCCTACCACAATGTCATTTATGGGTTAAACTTTTATTGCATTTCATCTATTTGTAGCTAACCACACTGTCTCTCTGTCTATTTAGTGAGCGACTTGTATCGGCGACGATTAGACGTGTTTTAAGGTTAAGTTTTGTTTTGGCTATACGTGGAAAAAAACTAGGTAAGTAATATTTTGTCAAGCATGTTCTTATTATTGATTTTTAACTATTACTTTCAATTCAGATATATAAAGTGGTCATTAGTTTATACAATAACGATTAAAATGATTACATAGTGATATCTTGTAAACAGTTATTGAATTTCAAAAGTAAATAGATCAGGTGGTACTCAGTGGATCAGAAGCTTGTGGTACACAGTTGATCATGATCCACTGTGTACCATGTGATTTATAACAAGGTTGTGCTAATATTATTTACAAATTCAATCTTGTTTTTATTTCAGAATGCCACGAAATAAGAAAGAAAAAGAAAAATAGGTGATCACACCAAAGAAGCAATGCTAGCAGCACTTAATGCTATTAAGGAAGGAAACAGTATACGACACGTTTCTTCAGAATCAAATATACCTTTTACTACCCTACGAAGGTATTATGCAAAGACCAAAGAAACTGACCTAGTAGGTGACGTAAAATTAACACCCAACTATGAAGTCAACCGAGTTTTCTCGGAAGTACAAGAAAATATTCTTAGAGACTATTATAAAGATATTATATAATAATATAAAAATGCCTTCCTCGTGGGAAACGAATCAAATAGCAGGTATTGACTGGCTTAGGGGTTTTCGGAAACGTCATCCTGAACTCTCACTTAGAAAACCAGAAGCATGTAGCCTTGCGAGAGCTACATCATTTAATAAAGAGACAGTGACAAAATTTTATGATAATCTCAAAAACGCAATTAAAAGAAATCCAGCATTTTCCGATGGATGCAGAATATTTAACCTCGATGAGACAGGCACAACCACCGTGCAGAAACCTCATAAAGTAATAGCCCTGAAGGGCCATAGAAACCTTTGCAAAGTTACCAGTGGCGAAAAAGGAGTTTTATGCACAACATGCTGCATCATAAGCGCTGGAGGGCAGGCACTTCCTCCAGTAATAATTTTCCCACGAAAGAAGGTAAACCCTAGAATGGGTATTGGTACTCCACCGGGAACTTTGATTTTAGCGGCACAGTCGGGTTGGATGAACAGCGATTTATTTGTAGATGTTATGAAACATTATATCAAGCACAGTGGTAGTTCATTGGAAAATCCCAGTATTTTAATAATGGACAATCATGAATCGCATCTATCCATTGAATCGTTAGATTTGGCAAAGGCATCCGGTGTGATTGTACTCACATTACATCCTCATACTTCAGCGAAAATGCAGCCTCTAGATGTGTCAATTTTTGCACCATTTAAGAATTATTATCATTCTGCCATGGATTCTTGGATGATGCGTAATCCAGGACAACCGATTACTATTTATGATGTTGGACAACTAATTGGAATCGCATTTGAAAAATCCATGACACCATCCAATATACGTCAAGGATTTAACAAGACAGGATTAGTACCATTCGACAGACACAAATTTAAGGACGACGACTTTTTGCCTAGTACGGTAACAGATAGGCAAAATCCAGATATACTACAAGATACTGAAGAAAATGTCAAATACAGCTCCCTTAGGTTTGAGAGGTGAGGAGCGACTAGCGAACTTTCCGTTTCAGATTGTAGCAGTAGATGTTATGGGTCCTTTTCCCAGATCTCCCAATGGGTATACCTATTTGTTAGTGGTCGTTGATTGGTTCTCTAAATATACTTTGTTGCATGCCATGAGGAATGCTAAGGCTCAGCCGATCGTGAAGTTTATGGAAAACCAAGTATTTTTGCAGTTTGGACCACCACAATTTGTTATTTGTGATAATGCTACTGTTTTTGCGGGAAAAGAATTTAAGAGGTTGATGGACACCTATCAAGTCCAGAAAATTTGGTTTACCCCTCATTACGCACCTATTTGTAATTTTGTCGAACGGGTTAATAAGACTATTGGACAGTCAATCTGTAGCTATGTCATTGAACATAAGAAATGGGACAGCGAGTTATTTAAAATTCAATTTGCAATAAATACAGCAGTTCATGAAGTTCATAACTTCACTCCTGCTTTTATTAATTTTGGTAGATATATTCCTAGTTCTGGAAAATATTATGGTGAAGTAAATTCTACTTCAGGTTTAGAACTTTCGGCTGTAAACCGAAAGGATTATGCAGACAAAATTTCAAGACTCACTGAAATATATAAGGACGTACAAGAAAAGTTACACAAAGCTTATCAACGTAATGCTCGTTCATATAATTTAAGAAGGCAAGACATTTCGTTTGCTGAAGGAGATCGTGTTTGGAAACGTAATAAAGCTCTCTCAGATGCAACTATTGACTTTACTGCTAAACTGATACCAAAATTTGTTTTGTGTAAAGTGGCGAAGAAGATTTCAAAAGTGGCCTATGACTTAATCTTTATGGATGGGTCATCTGCAGGCCGTTGGCATGTTAAAGATTTGAAGCCTTATTTCGGATCTAATTCAGACATCTCCTTTAACTAATTTTTCCCTTCTTGTACAGACCATTCTAGGTTTTGATAGTATTATATTGTTCATAATAATACTTATTGTTATAGTTTCATTTTGTTTATAGTTTTTGTATTAATAGGTTAAATATAAGCTGCAAGTACAGCTTATTATTTGGTTTGCAAATTAAAGGCAACCTTGGTTTAGCTCAACAAGTTTGGAAGACCCCCTACTGATTATGACCCCCTACTGATTAAGTCACTTACCGATTTTGCCTCCCTCGTGGATGTGTGGTACGCATCAGTTACCAACCCAAACCTCTAGTTTTGTTTTAAACCAAGATTGGTGTTTCCTAATGCTGAAGACTGGTATAGTGTGTTACCGTTTTTCTGTTGTAAATACAATACGCTTATTGTTGGACTAAGTCCATTATTGAATTTATCAATATTGTCTTTATAGAAATTGAGGTGTTTAGTTTTTTTTAATTACTAGGTTTAAGATGTTTTTTTTTATACTTATAGAGTGCTTAATATTTGGAAAATTGATAAGAGTCCACTGACTGATTAATTAAAGTTTAACCTTTCACTTAAAATTTCACGTATATGATTTTTTTGAAATTACAGTCTAGTTTCCTTTACGATTTAATAGAAATATTAAATCTTACTAAGAAGGGGGGTATTGTAGCGTTTTAAAATAATTACTTTACATTAAACTTCTTTTATTCATACTTTTAAAGTAATTTTAATATAAGTTAGCCCTACTGCTTATGCAACATTCATTACTAAGATAAATTTTAATAAAAATCGAATCATCGTTGATCGAGGAACGTCAATATCTGACAAGTCAGGTAGAAGTCAAGACCTTTTTTTTGGGTTTTGGAGATTAACGTTGGTTAGCGTAAGTTACCAACTTGGGGTTTCCATTTTTGGTTAAACATCTTCGAGGATTAGCTGTAAACCAAATTCAACTTGGAAGCTGAGGAGACTTGGATAGCCGTGCTATCAGTTCTGATTTGTCCCTCATCCATGTCCTTGGTGCTATAGTCAACCCCGAAAAGCTGAAGAAACTTAAGTTGCTACAAATTGAGATTCGTCCCTCGTCCCTGTCCTTGGCGCGATAGTCATCGGCCAACTTGAATCTCAAGAAGCGAGTCAAGCCGACAGCTAAGGCGATCTACGTGTCTGCGTCCATTTGTGGACTTTTACAGATAAGCCCCTAATACTTCTTTATTTGTTTAGTTATTTTTTTTAGTCAGTCAATTCAGACAACGTTTTTAAATAGACATTTAAAGTAAATGCGTCTACATACGTAAAATAAATTTTAGTTGTAAGTATCAATTGGCCAATCGAGACAAATTCTCTTGTATTAAGTAGGTAGCGATACAGTCAAGACTTTCATTTTCCTGTTCTTATTTTAATTTTTTTAAACTGTTGTTTAATAAATGTTAAATCATTGAGTTTTTATTTAGACTTTTTATGTAAAGACCTATCCAAATAATATATATTTGTACAGAGGATACCTAGTTCATAGAACTCCTAGGCTTCTCTGGATTCTAGGCCTGGAACTTCATATACTATAGAATCCAGTGGCGCCCTATAACCCATTTTTCTAAATTTAATCCTAACTATTTTTATTCATTCAAGCTTAAGTTTTTAACTCATTTAATTATCTAATTTCGAACCTGCGACGCTCTCCGACGAACAGCTCCGGCATATGTAGTTTTAATGCTACAACATCAAACTGCTGAAGTACTACTGGAGAAAAAAATTAATTTAGCTCCTTCGACATCAGCAGGCCCATCAAAAGATTATCAAATATTAACTCCTGATCAATTTAGACAGCCACTAAAAGCAAAGCCAAGAACTGGGAAAAGAAAACCAAGAAAGTTAGGACGAAGTTTAATAGCTACTGATACACCGGAAAAAGCAGCAATTGCAGTCGAAAGGGAGGCTGCTAAAAGAAGAAAAGAAATGAAAGGTAAAAAAGGTAGTGTTCGTAAGGTATTGCAAAGCGATTCAGAAGACGAGGAAGAAGTTGTGCTGCATGATGAATCTGTCGATGATGACATTGATTGTTTTGAAGAGGAAAAAGAAAATGATCAAATGACTTTAACTGAAAACTGCTTGCAAAATCCACTTTGTCGATCACCAACTGTGGGGGATTATATTATTGTGGAATTTAGCACAAAAAAAACAAAAAATTTACTACGTAGCTAAGGTATTAGAAAGTAGAAATACTTCTATGGAAGTGTACGTTAGTTTTTTAAGGCAAAAAACTGACCAACTATTTCATATCCCCAACGTCCCGGATTTAGCATGTGTTAATGACCATGGCATAAAATTTATTTTACCGAAACCTACAGTTACTGGAAGTACTGCAAGGCAACAATCTTGTTATAAATTATCCATTAATATGTCAAATTTAAATCTGCGTTAGATTATTTTAGGTATATTTATTCTTGTAAATGAGAATTTAAGTTTTACGTTATATTTACCTATGAATAAATTTTACTTTGGTGTTTATTTTTTGTTGCTTATTCACTGTTAACCAATGGCCGATTCAGTGTGTACTAACTAGAATACACAGTGGATCATTTTCATTTTTTTAAAAAAACTAAGACAGACATTTCAAAAAAATTTCTACGGTGTTCAATCTAATATAAATTGGACACTAGACACTTAAGGCAACCTGTGCTCGAATTTGCGACAGTTCAGGCGTTTAACTTTGAAGATAAGAGCAAGTTAAAAAATACTGATTCACTGTTGACCATGTTACCCTACTTTTTTGTAGTATTTTTGTTGGGTAAAATGGAGTATGCTGTAGTCTGTTTTCTTAAAGAGGATACGTATTCAGAAGTGCCAACAGCCTGGTTATCTGATAACAGAGAACAGTGTTGGTGGCCAAATTGCATGAATGTAAATTCGCATATGGCAAAAGGGTTACTACCAGACAAACTTAACTGGACAGCATATGATGTGAGGGTGGAATGTTATTGTTGTGAGTATATTCTAAAAACATTAAACAGTGGAATATATTTTTAAAACATATTTTGCAGCAACATTGGAAAGTGCCAGAATTAAAGCGCAAGATCCCGAATACAGTTCCTCTACAGAAGACAAAGGTAAAGGTAAAAGAAAGAAAATACCAGTTCACATAAATTCAAGTTCTTCTGAGGACGAACTTGATTTAACCCCTCCTCCAGTACCCAAGACACAGAAACAATTTAATGGTCATGGAAGTAAAGGATCTGGAAGTAAGGAATCGGGAAATAAGGAATTGGGAAGTAAAGAATCCGGAAGTAAGGAATCCACAACGATAGAGGTACACATGTCCTACATGATTTATAAAAAAAATCTTAAGTTATATTACATTTCAGCATTACACAGTTCAGCTGGATGGAACTTTAAAAAATCTAGAAACGAAAAATAGAGAATTTGAAGATAGTACTCTAAATGGTAATTATGGACATGTTTATTTAGTTTAACTTTAACTTTTTTAAAATGAATAAATTTATTGTAACTACTAAAATTTTAGAAATCCTTTGTGTTTCTCAAGAGACATTGAAGTATATCAAAGAATTCACTATAGAAATAAAAAGATTAAGAATCACTGATGGAGAACTTCAAAGCGATAAAATTATGTCTAAACTTAAAATTCTGCCTCTAAAGACTACTGAGGAAATAGAATATTTTAGTGAAGAGCTTGGCAGAGATGAAAAGACCAAAACTTGTTTGGTAAGTATCTATATATATATTTTTAAATCTTTTTATATATATAGGAAAATTTTAATTAGTTTTTGTAATGTAATTTTAATTATTTCAGATATCTTATGTGCAGTCCATTGGTGGAAGAGATCACAAGGACCACATGAATCGGTGCCTCAGTGGTATATTCACCAATCAAGTTGGCACACTTTGTTCCTATGAGGGCCGAAAAGGGAACTATAAACTAAAGGATTCATTTATTATGAAGGTTTTAACTGGTGAGTTTAGAAAAATTGCTAAAATATTGCTAAAATATTACAATTAATGTATTTCCTTTTTAATTTTTAGATGTGTTATTAACCAAATATAGGATAACCTTGTGTGAATGTCAGGCAGTCATTACAGAGTGGTTCCGATTGTCCAGACAGAGGCTAACCAGGGAAAAAAAATAAATTTGGGAGTGTAGTGTTATCAATAAAAAAATTAAATAAAATGTTTAAATGTTTCATTTTTAATGCCTCTAGAAATGTACAGTATTTCAGTAACATTTGAATTTGGGCCAAATTGTGGTTCATCTTACAATGAAACTGTTTCATCGCCATGTAAAAAATAGTTATACAGGGTTTCCCCAAAATAAAAAGTTTGTTTTACTTTTCACAAAAAAAACTATTGATAAAAAGTTCTGCATGTTTTGAAATTCTGTAATCGTGCATCAAATTTGTAATATATTAGATCATATAGAGGTAAAATAGAAAATAATGATTTATTTGAAGGGTAAAGTATTTTTATATTTTTATTTAGAGCAAAACGTTAATTGAAAATGATGATAGAACTTGAAAAATATGATCCAGTTTAAATAATTACACTTTTTTTAGTGATGTTGAATTTGATGATTGGAAACTAAGAGATGCATATTTTTAATCATGAATAATTTTTTGTGTAATGTAAAATACCCGTTTTCCCCACTTGTATTAAGTTTTTGAGATATAATGTATAAGACACTGTAAAAATTACATAACAAGTGATACCTCAATACTACATAACTATGTTACATACAACAACGTTAATATTATGTAATAAGTGATACATCAGTATTACGTCACTGCGTTACATTGTAACAGTTTTATTTAAACCAATAAACCTGGGGGTTATATGACTACTAATTTAAATGCGAATACTTTAAATGATACCCTCTGATATATATAAACCCTTTGCATTACTATCTAAATAATGTTTGAAACCAAATACCTTATATTTATGCTTAATCTGTTTCTTGATAACTAGACATCAGATTTGCTTATATAACCACTTCTTAAAATATTGTCAAACTACCATTTCACTTCTGAGAACGATTCATTCAATAAATAGTTTGTTTTGGTAGTTTTATTTCCATGCAACCGGTGTTAAACTTCAACAACACTCTTGCTTATTTTCTGACTCATAATTCTTTGTTTAATACCACCTTTACTGTAGGGCTTCCTGATAATTCAATTTAGTTTATATATTAGTAAAAGTAATAAATAACATCACGATTTGTGTTTAAATTAATATTTCTAAATGTTGTTTACAAAATTCAATGTTTACTTTGTGAATATTTGACATTTGAATTTAATAGGGATTTACGGAAAGTGTGATCCGATTAACTCGATCACTTGGATTAGTAATCTTCTCGTTCGAAAACTCAATTCTTATTGGGTTAGTTGTGTTCGTAAAGTAAACCGATTAACTCGGTTTTTACCATATGGTCTGATCTTACTTACCCTCCTCGCTAGCAGGGTAAATTGGATTACTAATATATCTGTCAAGACGAAGACAACGGAGTGAGTGTTTTGTGACCATTGTCGTGTCAAGGTCAAGTTTCAATCAGATAATGAGGTTATGTTATGTCCGGTTATGTCGGGAATGATTAGTAGCTTAGCCGGTTATAAAATTTATAATATAAAATTAAACACAACTTTCGTTGGTAATAATTTTTTTTAAAATGGAAACGATCACACTTGAAGATGAAACAGGTGAACAGTATCAGTGTCTGGTAACAGCAGAGGAATATGACAAAATAATACATGGAGGTAGGTTACATAAAATTATATTTGTTTTTGGGAGTAGGTAAAAAATAATTCAGTTTTAGATTTTGGTGTGTTTGTTACATTCATATAATATATTTTTTAGATAATGATCTTGCAAATGAATATTTAAAAAGGGAAGTTGAAAGAAAAAATCGACTGCTGGCCTTTAAACTTTTACACAAAGAACGTAAAAATGAATGGTCATTTACGACCAGTCAGGAGCAGGCTACCAATGATATTGAAATTGAGGAAGAGCCTGAATGTATGATGACACAATCTTATGAATCAAATAATTTTGAAGATTTAGTTGAACTTGGAACTGACAACAGTTCTTCACTCTCTGATGAAATATGTAAGTATTTGTAATTATAATTGTTTCAATAACTACTTGTTACATTGTTTTTAGCTTTAACAAATCGATGGACAGACAATGAAACAAAACAACTCATCGAACTATATCATAAAAATATTAAAAAATTTCAAGAAAAAAAATTCAAACCAAAAGCTATATTTGCAGAGATCGCTAAAACATTTCCACGTTTCAATTGTGATCAAGTTGAAACAAAAATGAAAAATTTGAAGAAAACGTATAAATCAATCTATGATAATAATAAAGCTACTGGCCGAGGCACAATTAAATGGCCATATTATAACAGTATGAATGAAATATTTGGGCAAAAACCAGAAAATGAACCACTTAGTATAGCTTCCAGCTCACTTGGATTTAAAAAAAGTTTAGCAATTGAACAAAGTACAAGTGGAAGTGATGATGTTCAGAGTTCTGAGACTGTCACTTCTGCTAGGAAGAGAAAATGTTCTCCTAAGTCTTCAGAACCAGAATGGTTTAGACAGCACAGAAAAGATATAGCTGACCGTCATAATGAAAAGATGGATTTACAAAGAGAATTTTTATCTACGTTTAAAGAATGGGTTAAAAAATCTAATTAGTGTTTATAAAAAACCGTATATATTTCTGCCCAAGTAATTTTTTTTTTGTTTGTATTTCATGAAATGTTAATTTAGGTTCAAAAAATAAAATTGTAAAAATTTTTAAGAATTTTATTTTCAACTTTTGGAAAACAATACACACATTAATACCTGTATTGAACAAAAACAGTATTATGAATATAGAGATTATACAAACTGAAATAAATCAAATTAGATCTTACAGAAAAAAATTGGATTATGACAGTATTAATGTAGACATAGGCATTAAACAGAAACAAATTATAAGGTAGAAGAAAAATCTAATAAAACGTTTTCTGATAAAACTATACATAATAATAAATGGTGTAATGAGGTACCTAATAATAACTGCACAAAAATATAAAGACCTGCATTTATAAAATTTAAAACTACCATAGAACTGACTAAATTTTACTTGAAATTGAACCTTATAGTACTGAGCATAAATAGTTTCGTTTTAATACTCCTCTCTCGTCCTGTTCATGACAGAAATCCATAATATCTACTTCACCTTCTAATTCTGGTATATCATGCTCTTCCAATGAATCATTTACTACAATGCATAGATTATGTAAAATGCAGCAACCTAGTATAATTTTTGGAATGTCAATTGTGTTATATACATTAACAAACTTTAAAATCCTGAACCTAGTTTTTAACAGTCCAAAAGTATGTTCTATACATATTCTATTTGAAGATAATTTTCTATTCATTCTTTTTTGCCTTACTGTAAGCTGGCCATTATCTCTAAATGGGGTCATTAGATTATTTGATAAAGGGTATGCAGAATCACCTAGTAGATGCATATTATTGTAGAATAATTCATCTGGATTTTCTTGTAACTTTCTACCAAAATCAGTCCGCCTTAAAACACGAGCATCATGCATACTTCCAGGCCAACCTGAAATATAGGTTACTTAATATATTAATATGTTGCTATTTTTAATATGGAAGTGGGTAGAACTCTGAAATTTTTAAAGTTCTATACCTTGTGGAACTTATTTTTTTAATGATCCATGCTTAAATAAAAAGATAGAGTAACCCGAGGTGTGCACCTCTAATCACAGCCTATTAATAATGATTTTGTTGAAAGATACATACCACATGAGACATCAATAAATCTTTTTTTTTCATCACACACACCTTGCAATATTAACGAATGGTAACCTTTGCGATTGATATAGGATTCTTGATTTATTGTAGGTTTGGCAATGGGTATGTGACTTCCATCAATTATTCCAATGATATTTGGAAAACCATTATTTTCTCTAAAATGATTACTAGTTTTTCTTGCTTTCTCTAAATTTGGCCACTTGATAAATTTTTTTCTTATGATAATAAGAGCCACGTTAAAACGGTCAGCTATACTTCTACAAAATTTAATAAGATATATATGATTACATCTATTTTATTCATACCTATTTACCTAAACACTTCTTGATTTCCTAGGTACCACATTGTAATCAAAAGTTGTTTTTTTAAAGGGTATGAGGGTCTTCCTGTTTCCTTCAAAGTTTGAGGTCCCAATTCTATTAGTATAAAATCTGCAGTTGATCTGCTTATTCTAAAATGAGATTTGAAATCTGGAACAAAAATAATCTGGCTATAGGTATAAAGGAGGCAGGTCTTAACATATTTTTAAAGTAGGTAGCTAAGTAATTATATTACAAAGGTAATTTTTTTTCATAGACTCTATTCTTACCATAATCTAAATATTTAGGAACAGCTTCTTCAAAATAATTTTGTATACATTGCCTTTTTCTTTTAGATTTTATTTCATTCTCCAATAACAACAATATGACCTCTTCATCATCATCTTCCTTTTCACAAAAAAAGACATTCTGCATAAATGTAATTATTTGTTTGTCCATTCTAAACTAAAAATATTAAAGTAAACATTTTTATTAAAAATTATCAGAAAATGGGTATATACTTACCTGCAACATTAAAAAATATTGTATATGGTACCTAATCTCTGGTATGTAGTTTACAACACACAACTATAGTTAAATAAAGAAAATAAACAAATACATAATATATAAACTTCAAAAACGAAAACAACACAAAATACTTAAAAAATGAAGAACAGACAACAATAATAATAATTATTTATTATAAAATGAAACTGAAACATACAATGACAGTACGGGAACCACCAAAAATAATAACACGCTAACGCCAAGAAATTACATACCACGGTTTAAAATTCAAATTCATGACTTTGGCGCGCACCTTGTAATCTATGCGTTCGGAAACATTTAAATATCTACCCGTTTTTTGAGTTAATCTGATATCAACTGACAGTTATCAATATAACCTGAGTTTATTGTTTCCGTAAATGCCTAATATTTCTAGATTGTGACTTTGTTGACACGGAACGCTTTGTTCGCGTCACTTCTGCACTCGGAACTGCTCTGAGATATAATTCCGTGCAGAATATTAAAATGTGAGTTTAATTATAATGTTTTATGGGGGGATTTATATGGCTTTGTAAATTTTGTAACATTAGGATTACAGTATTAGAGTTAATACTTATTTTTGGTTCGGGTTATTATAAAAATGTTCTACGTGTAATAGAAGTCTAGTACGTTTTAGTACATTTGAGACCTAGCTGTGTTAGTATGTATTGTGGGTTATTGATCGTCATTGGTCGATATAGGTTTGTTCATTGGTACTGTAATTATTGATTTTTGCCATACATAGTTTTAATTGGTTAATGAGGGTATGTTAGTTTGTAATACTGGTATTGTTTTACATTTTTGATTGGCCATTAAGAAATTTTGCTCTGCGTTTGACTTGCGCAAACCGACCGGTCTTTTGGAAAGGAAGCTTTTTTTTTTAATGTGTGGTAGCCGAAGACAGCAGAACTTGTAAATTTGTGAGACGTTTAATCTATTAATTTTGTGGCAATTTTGTGCCATCCCAAGTTGGGGGATTTAAATTAGACGTGGCTTATAATCTAGGGTGGTTGCGAAAACGATATTCTTGTTCGGAAGTTGTTTTATCGTTGAGTACTATTTGAAGAATTTTGTTCAACGCCTAGCTCGTTATCGAGGAGAAATTTTTCAAGTTCGACGCTCGCCTTGGTTGGCTATTGGATATCCAGCTTTGTTTATGTATTATTATCTTTTCCTGTTATGGAAGGTGCTCTGGGTTGGTTGGACGACTAACGTTAACCTTTGGAGGCCTGATTTTGGGAACGTGGCCGGCATTTGGGTGCCTAAAGCCCTCGCGAAAGAGGTAACTAAAATATTTTATTTTGTCATTAATTTAGTATATATTTGTTCGTGCCACCCTTTTAACGCTTTAATCCAGCTAAGTTGGATTTAAAACAGGGAAAACCATATTTCTTTTATTTTATTTTGGGGCTCTGTAAATTATACATTTTTATTCAGGGGTTTTTGTTTATATAATTTTTACTCTTTACTATCATGGGATGTAGTAACTTCTATTTTATGTGATCGGTTGGGGGGAATGCACATTTGTGTTATTTTTAATTGATTTGGGTTTTGTACCTTCTTTTAGGGTTCACGTTATGGGTTTGAGTCTTGCTTCCAAAGAATAATTGGGGAGTCGAGGTACCAATTGCCTATTTTGGGTACTTATTTACTTTTGAAATCCATCTGGTGTGCTGATGACGAGTGTACTTTGTCGAGTCTACATGTACAGGGTGCCGCAGCTGTTGTAGAAGGGGGCGAAAATGCGCCTGGTGGATCTGCTATAGGTTGTGGAGTATGGAGCATGGAATTGAAGAGAGGAGCGATGATTTTCTTCAGGATTAATTAGGCAGTCATTCTGACAGCCTCAGAGTGAACAGCTAAGTTCTTTAGTTTATTTCTTTTTTTTATTTAAAACTTAGTTGGGGGGATTTAACTTGCATTTCGATTAGCTGTATATTTTTATTTTATAATATTATGTCTTTTGGTGGTTTTAACAATGTGCAACAGAAACTAACATCCTATTTGCTGTAAACCTTCAAAATTTTACCTTAATGCGCATATTAGTCCTTCGCCTTGGATCCATCGCTAACGACACATGTTTTGAAATTGATATCACACTATTTAACATTATTTAACTTTTATTACTTTTTTTATGTTTAGTTTCTGTGATAAAAGGCTATAACGCTATATCACAACCTAAAAGTGTATACAGGGTTGCATAATTGTAAAATTTTGGTAGATGATTACATGATTATAATACAGTACTTAGGTTACTGAAAAGTTACAAGGAAACGCCTATGTATGAGCCTAGGGTCTCTTTTGTTTTATTAGTTTAGTGAATTTATTTTGTAATTGAATAAGAAAATCACTTAATCAATTAACAGGTCAAACCTTTGTTGATTAATTTTTTTTTTTTGAATTTGTCTAGCTACTTAATTTTGGTACTTAATCATTTGGTCTAGAATTATTTTAAACCGTAATAAAGAAGGTGTAAGTTAAGGTTGTCTTTTATTTCCTTATCTTTTATTAGATTTCAGATAAGTTTGTTTCAGTATATACTTGGGGCTCGGCTTAATCTAATTGGCGCCCAGACTCAGAATAACATCAGTAATCCCAGATTACATTTAAATTACCCACTCCCGTCTCCACTTGAGTGAACCGGAGCCACATGGTTGACATCTGGGACAACCTATAAACCTTATATAAGCAAAACGCGTTATAACATAACAGTTATATAAAACAGATAATGTAAATATTAGATAATAAATGATACATCAATACTACATAACTATGTAACAACAGTTACATAAGGCTTCTTTTATGCACATGTCGTTGTGTGGTTTGATGTCGGACGGCACAAAACGCTCGAAAACTATTTACATACGGAGCAATGGTTCCTTTTATGCAGTTGTCGTCAAGAAATTTGCCGTCGCATTTTGCGAACATGTCGTTGTGTGTCTAATCATGCCGTCGAGAAAATAGATTTGGACAGCAAACGCTCGACGACAATTGCGGTTACAATATTTTAAATACACGTACACATATGGGGATTTTTATGCAGATGTTCAGCGTTTTGTTCTCGTAGTGAAGGCCTGTTGCCACTCTTCGTAGTTTTCACA